GGTCGGGGCCCCGCGCCGGCCCCGCTCACCGCCGCTCTCTGCTTCCTCCCCCAGGTTCCTGCACCTGTTCGTGCTCTGCCTCCGGGCCCAGGTGAGCGCCGGCCGGGCCCCGCGGGGCGGGCAGGGTGGCACCGGACCCGCGGGTCTCTGGGGCCGGATGCCACCCCGGTGTCCCGGGCGCGGGCGTGCGGAGATCGCAGGTGCGGGCTCTCTGCTCGGGGGAGCTCCGCGAAGCCAGCCCGGAGGCGGGCGAGGGCGAGGGCACGGGGGTCGGGAGGGGCCGAGCCCTCCTCCGATGCCCCCAAACGCCCTCGAGGAAGCGGGCGCATCAAGAGAGGGAGAGACCGAGCTGCCGGCGGCCTCGGCTTTGGGGAGCGATTGCTTTTCGATCGTTCCCCTTTTCTTCTTCCTTGCGGGAAGCCGCGAGGCAGCCTCCGCGTCCCGCACGGGGAGGGGGAGACCGGGGGGCCGCGCTGTGCCCCCTTCGGCGCCCAGAAGGACCCGTCCCCTCGGTGTTTGCTGCGATGTCTAGAAACGTCGGGGGCCAGCTGGGCTTGGGAGCCGGGGGAAGAAGGAGAAGCCCAGGCTGGTTGTGTTGGGAGCGGGGTCGATGCCCCCGACCGGCCTCGGGATAAAAGGAGCTGAGGAGAAGTGCCAGCGGGGCCGGGCCAGGCCTCCACGCCGGGAGCTCGGGGGCTGCCGTCAGCAGTCGCAAGCGGGTGGCTTGCAAGGGCCGGAGGAGGCAGGGCAGCGGGCTGGGAAGAGATGGCCCTCGTTAAAAAGGACGTTAGCAGTCCGGGCATAACTGATAGCGCGGGTAGATGGGCAGGGGGGGCAAATCCCAGCTCCCGTCTTGGTGGCATCGACCCAGGGCAGCCTGTTGCTTCCAGTCCCCGAGACGGGGCATCTCCCCGCAGGGCCGGGTGCAGGCAGCCCCCGAAAGCGCACCGCTCGCGGCCCTCTGAGATGCCCCCAGGGGCCGGGGACCCGTGCGCAGCCCGTCAGCCCCTCCGAGGAGCAGAGACCGTAATGGTGTGTTGTATATTTTTTAATTTCCTAAAGGTAACTGTTCAGTCCCCACCTAATTTTACACAGCATGTGAGGGAGCAAAGCCTGGTGACGGACCAGCTCAGCCGGCGGCTCGTCCGCACCTACCAGCTGTACAGCCGGACCAGCGGGAAGCACGTCCAGATCCTAGACAACAAGAAAATCAATGCCATGGCGGAGGACGGGGACGCCCACGGTAAGGGCACGGGCCGGTCCCGTCCTCCTCGGGAGCCAGGAGGGGTGACGGGCGCCCGTCTCGCCGGGGCTGGGAGACCGTGCGCGGAGGTCGTTGGCAGGGCCGAGAGGCAGGTTGTTTCCAGGGTTGCGTATATTGCCAAAAAAGAAATACCGCGCCCAAATAAACGTGGACTCCCCGTCCCTAAGCGGACCCTTTCCGAGGGCGCGGCTGTCCGCACCGCTCTTTGCCAGAAATCCCGAGCGGTCCTCGAGCTGGGGCTGGGGAGGCCGACTCTCGAGGGACAAAAGCCAGGAGCCGCGGCAAGTGCCGTCCGGTGCCAGGAAGGATCCGGGCACAGGGTCCGGCCCCGAAAGGCGGCTCCCTCGTGGGGCGCGCGGGAGAGCCGCGCCATGCCTGGGTGACGCGTGTGCGGATGGCACGTTGAAGCGGTCGGACCCCGATGTCGGCAAGGTGGGAGAGCCCGCAGAGGTGGCAGGCCCCTCGCCCGCACGGTGCAGCGCCACGGGACTGCACCGCACGCAGCAATCGTGCCTGCTTCTCCTCGGAGCGGCGGTTTCCCTTTCTTACTTGGGGAGAGGCGTGGAAACGCCGGGGTTTTTCTTTCTCCTCCGGTGCTTTGGCTTGGAAACGTTACCGTACGCTCAAACGATCGCGCCCCGTGTCGACTCGGCCACCAGCCGCCTTATCCCAAACCACCCCTGGATCAAAAGGGTGCGAGGCGATTCCCCCCGGCCCCGGCGCGCTCTCCGCGTCTCCGGCGCGTGTGTTTTTTAAAAGGCCGCTACTGCACATTGGAAATCACGACCAAGTTTAACCAAGGCCAGGAGGAGGCAGGGGGAGCTCCCGGCGGCTTGAAAACCTCTATTAAAACGCAATAAAAAGGGGAAGCGTTTGAGGAGCGAGAGAGAAAAATGACGGATGATCTAAACCAGGAGAAAAAAAAAAAAAGCAAGAAAGAACAAGCCGTTTTTCAGATGTAAAGTTTTAAAAGGGCTGCGAGTCTGTAAATGTGAAAGTAGAGGTTCAGGATTGTTCTGTATGAATCTCCAGAGAGACCCCCATGTCTGGAAGAGCGATTAAAACTCTTCTTACTTTCACCTTTTTTAACATTTCCTGAATACTTTCTGCTCTTCGCAGTCCAGTTAGGGGATCAAGTGTGTCTCGCTGCATTTTTTCAGCATTTACGTAGCCACTTTCCCTTCAACGTTTTAGCAAGAAACATAATTTTACTGGGATAAATCTGTCATGTCAGGAGGCGAAAACCTGAAGCTTTTTCCGAAAAAAAAAGAAAGAAAGGAAAAGAAACAAACAAAAAAAAGGCCCTGCTCAACCCAGCAGCTCGCCGTTGCACAGCCCCGCGCGCGAGGCACCCGGGATTTCGGGTTTCGGGATGGGAAGAAAGGGGCTGATTTATCTTCTCAAACGACTGCTCGGCCCGCTCGGACGTTTTTACTGCCGCCTTCCCGGCGGGCCGGGCGCTCGCGGGGATCTGCCGCGGTTGTCGGGTGGGACGGAGCTGTCCGGCCTCTGCCTCGGCTCCGGGCAGGGGCCGCGACCCCCCAGGTCCCTGCCCGGGGTGGAGCTGGGCAGGGTTGAGCCCACCCTGTGCCCATCTCCGGGCCGGGGGCTCGCAGGGGTCCGGGGCCTGCGCAGCGAGGCCGGACCAGCCCCCGGGCTATAAATCAGGGCCGGCTTTTGAAAAGGCAGAGAGGGAAGAGATGTGCATCTTTGAAGGCCTGTTGTGTGCTGCTCTCCCGAGGCTTCCCCTGCCCTCCTCCCTCCCTCCCTCCCCGGCTTCCTCGCTAGCGGCCGAGGGAAGGAAAATCGATGCTCTCCAAACCTCCGGTGGCCCCTTGCATCCATCCCGGCCCCCCGGCAAGGAGCGGAAGGGGACCCCGTCTCAGGGCCTCGGTCCCAGGGGCCGAGGCGCGTGCGTGGGGCTTGCATGGGGAGCACTGTGCTCTGGGCTGGGGGGCAGAGAGTGAGTCGGCTCCCCCTGGTCCCAGCTCCGGGGCACTGAGCCGCTCCAGGCAGCCTGGGGCACGGGCTGGGTCTGTTCAGGACGGTCGGGGTAGCTGCCACCATCGTGAATGCAGCCGGCTCCAGGGTCTGCCCAGGCCGTGGTGTGCTGTGCCAGACGAGCCCTGACGCAGGCTTGGAGCCCTGGTGCCCGGCACGTGGCCCTGCCCCAGACACCCGCCACCGGGGGGCATTGCAGGCCCTGCCCCGGGCACCTCGCAGGCCTGGGGGGTTTCCCTGGCCCCCGCGTGCAGAGCATCCCAGCTCAAGCCTGTTGTCACAGGCAAAGCATGCGGGAGGGAGACGGCATGGTCCAGGGCTGGGCTGCACCTCAGTCTCCTCATCTGTGAAATGGGGGCTGTTCCTGCACGGGTCTTGCTGCGCCCGGGCAGCACTGAAAGCAGCCTGCTGTAGCTCAGGAGCCCGGCCGGGCACCAGCCACAGGGCATATGGGTACGTCAAGCCAGGGCCTCGCTGGGTCCTCGGAGCCATGCGGCGCCCTGGGCCGTTTGCAAGGCTGCGAGCGGGCTGCGCCCCTGCGCCGGCAGCGCGGCTCCGGCTCTCGGGTTCCCGGGGCGGAGGGAAGGTGACAGGGCTATTTATAGGCCCGCCATTGACCGGCGATTCGCATCGCTCCTACGGAAGCCGGTCGATGCCTCCGTTACAAAGCTGAGACCAAATCAATACGCCCTCTCGGCTGGCGCAGAGGTGACAGGCATTAGCGGGTGGCCCTTCCCGCTGCAAAGTCACCGCAGCCCCGGGGACACGGGTCCCTCGCCTGGGGGAGGGTCGTGGCACCCCTGCCCCTCGTCTGTCCCCTCGGCTCTGCTCCCTGCCTGGCTTGGAGCTGGTGCCGGAGGGGCTGCTCTGCCCCGTAGTCGGGCAGCCGTGCCCAGCCCAGTCCGTGACCTCCCTCGTTCCCCGCAGCCAAGCTCATCGTGGAGACGGACACGTTCGGGAGCCGCGTGCGCATCAAGGGGGCCGAGACGGGCTTCTACATCTGCATGAACAAGAAGGGCAAGCTCATCGGCAAGGTGAGGGGCGCTGGGGGTGAGGAAGGGGTGCCTGCTCCTGGGAGGGTTGCCCAGCGGCACTGACAGCTGGCGGCCAGTCTCCTCCAGCCCCCATGCCTCCCCGCGGGCAGGGAGAGGTGGCAGTGGGCCAGTGGCATTTGCAATGCTCTTCTCCCCCGGGCTTGGCAGGGTCGGGGGAGGCTGTGGACAGCGAGCACATGCAGCGTGAGTGCAATGAATGTGAACAAATGAGGAGCCTGGATGCATGTGCTCCCAACCCCCCCGTTCACACCCCCAAACTACATGGTAACCAGCCGTGGGCTGCTCCTTGCCAGGCAGCCTGTCCCATTGCCACACGTTCTCCTTTCCTAGAGGGGATTGTGAGCCCCGCTCAGCCCCGGTCACCTCCCCTCTAGCCTGCGCTCTCCAGCCCCACGCGAGTCCGGAGACGGGCAGGACAGACCTGGGTCTGACCCCACACGGGGCCACTCTGATGCCCCCACTCCCTGGGCTGCCCGCGCTCTGCGATTCCCCGGTGCCCGCAGTGCCGGGGCTGGGGGCAGGTGGCGTGCTTGGAGCTGTCCGTGTTCAAGGCCTGGCGGCAATGGCTGGTCCCCCCGGCACAGTCTGGGCTAGCGGTGGGTGAGCTGGAGGGTAACCCCGGGGCCGGGGCCGTGGACATGAGGCCCCCGGCTCCACCTGGGAGCAGTGGGGATGTCCTTTGGGCTCCAGCCTTGCTCCCAGGGGCTGGGTTCATTTCTCTTACCCACCTAGTGTGCATCTCCCCCCGTCTGCCCGCTGCGGCACCTGGCTCAACAGAGGGAGGAAGGTGGGAAACGCTGCCAGTCCTGGTCAGCATGACCTTGGCATTGTCCTTCAGGGGGTCATTCCAGGACCAGAGTGCTACGGCGCTAGGAGCTGCACAGGCAGGGAAGGGTGATGCCCGTGGGCTATTCTTGGGGTATACGTCAAGCGGAGGGCAGTGGCTGCAGGATCAGGCCCCTCGAGGCGACCCTAACAGCGTCGTCTGGGGCTCAGAGTCCAGATCCCAATGCGTGTCCAGAGGGTTTTGTGAGTGCTTGGGAAGGACTCGGGGGACCTGGACGTGAGAGATGGGGCAGTGGAGACGGCAGCACTGTGGGGAGCGCCGTCTTCACCTCCCGTCGTCATGCCGGGGAAATGCAGAGCAGGCTTTCAATAGGAAGGGAGCAAATCGCTACGGTGCCAGAGCGGGCGACAGGACCCGGGTGCGTTGGGGTCATCCTGCTCCAGCTGGCAGCAAGGATCGCCGTCAGCTCCTGTGCAGGCTTCGGGGCAGCAGGGCACGGAGCACCAGCACTGCCAGGCCGGGGGTTTCCCTGCAGTGCCCCAGCTCCGGGAGTCAGGGGATGACATGAGAATTGAAATTTCCTTTCCAGAAAAAAACAGTGGTTTCCAGCAGGGAGGGGCTGGGTCTTGGGACCCTGCGGGTCTCCGAGCCACTGTCGCAGGGAGGGCAGGGCTAGGATTCAGGGAGACCTGGAGAAATGGGAGGATTGAACCAAAAGAAATTTGAGGTTCAATGAGGACAAGTGCAAAGTCCCGCACTGAGGAGGGAGCAGTCCCCTGCACCGGGGCAGGCTGGGGGTGATGGGCTGGGCAGCAGCGCTGCAGAAAAGGACCTGGGGGGACAGGGGCCAAGAACCTGAACAGGAGCCAGCAGTGTGCCCTCGGTGCCAAGCAGGCGACCGGCATCCTGGGTAGGAGCGGTGCCAGCGGGTGGAGGGACGTGATTCTTCCCCTCCATTCAGCACTGGGGAGGCCACATCTGGAGTCCTGTGTCCAGCTTTGGGCCCCCACTACAGAAAGGATGTGGACACATTGGAGAGAGTCCAGTGCAGGGCAGTGAAAATGGTTGTGGGGCTGAGAGACACAACTGATGAGGAGAGGCCGAGGGAAATGGGCTGATTTAGTCTGCAGAAGAGAAGACCGAGGGGGATTGAACAGCAGCCTTCACCTCCCTGCAGAGGGGCTGCAAAAAGGATGGAGCTGGGCTGCTCTCAGTGGGGGCAGATACAGGACAAGGAGCAATGGGCTCAGGATGCAGCAAGGGAAGCTGAGGTTGGATATTTGGACAAACTTTCTCATGAGAAGAGTAGTAAACCACTGGGACAGAGAGGTGGGGGAGTCTCCATCCTTGAAGGTGTTTAAGACCCAGGTAGACGAAGCCTTGTCTGGGATGCTGTAATTGGGGCTGGTCCTGCTTGGAGCAGGGGCTGGACCAGACGTGACCTCCCGGGGTCCTTTCCGCGCCCGCGCCCTCCGATTGCGTGCTCTCGGGATCTGAAGGCATCTCCCGGCCGGGCACTGACCCTCTCTGTCGCTGCGTTTCCCCCGCAGAGCAACGGCAAAGGCAAGGACTGCGTCTTCACGGAGATCGTCCTGGAGAACAACTACACGGCGCTGCAGAACGCCAAGTACGAGGGCTGGTACATGGCCTTCACCCGCAAGGGCCGCCCGCGCCGGGGCTCCAAGACCCGGCAGCACCAGCGCGAGGTGCATTTCATGAAGCGCCTGCCCAAGGGCCACCACACCACGGAGCCCCATCGCCGCTTCGAATTCCTCAACTACCCCTTCAACCGGAGAAGTAAAAGGACTAGGAACTCCAGCCGCCGGGCAGGCCCTTGACCGGCCCGGCCGTGCCCTCCTCTCCTGGCCGTGGAGATGGGCGGACACAGAGTAGAGACTTTCCTGTACGGTGATCCCAAAAAAAATGAGCGGAAAAAAAAAAAGGAGGGGAAAAACAAACAATAAAAGCCGGGATCTAGTTGTTTATAATTTTTTTTTCTTGCTTTGATTTTGGGTTCTTTTTTGGTCCGAGAAGAGAACCGGACAGGCAGAGAGAAGCTCTATTTTTGTATTGCCGGCGCTGGAGAGGAACGAATTGACAGACTTGTGGAGGGGGACCGCGCGCCGACGTAGCAGCAGGGTCGTCTCCTTTATTTTTGTAGTGCTAGGGGGAAACGGGGGCAATCACTGGTTTTTAAAGCGAATGCATGGGGGGGGGGGGG